CTTCCTTCCTTCCTTCCTTCCTTCCTTCCTTCCTTCCTTCCTTCCTTTATTTGGAGTTTTTGTATGCCATCCCATTTGCATGAGCCTCGGGACGGCTTCCATAACTTAGGCTAAACTATGACCAGGATTCCATTCCCATGGCAGTAGTGGGAAGAAAAGAAGCCACAGCTTGCACACTGCACAATTTGTCTAATCATCCTTTGGCCTCATGGCTCCCCATGTCTTCTGGACCTGGCGAGGTGGCTTCCAAGCCACCCCCGGACCCTACAACAAGCCATGGACCCTGGGCCTCACTGAGTTTAGATAAAACAGCAATCCACATGCCATGGGGGGTAATTAGGCAAATCATGGAGAATATGACTGGCCTGGAGAACAGGGAGAAGAAGCCAGTATGACTTGTATGAACATAGCCTATGTTTCTAAGCTAAAACCTGGCTGGAAGTCTTGCTTCCCAAATCTCTCCATCTGTAGCCATAGACCTGGGAAAAGCTGTCTCATCTACCTGCATTACGCAACATACACCAGCCTCCTGCAGCCTGGCACCTTCCCAGGTGTAGCGGATGACACCTCCCACCTTCTGCACCCAGCATGCTGGCTGGATGGTGATGCGGATGTATTCCAACACTTCTGGGAAGGTGTCAGACCAGACAGGGAAGAATGACATAGAGACATAGAAACAGAGCGAGTCAGAAGGGGCCTCATGACACAGGCCATCCCTTCACTTCCCCAGTGTGTGGTCAGACGGCAGTGCACCGCAGGCAGAAATGGAATACTCAGCAGGAAGGGACCGAGGAATAAGCAAAGAGTGATCCAGAGGAGACCATCCATGGAAGGGAATAAAATTCTAGGCACCAAGGAAAGTTGTCTTGAGTCCCCTACAAGAAAGGCAGGACGTAAATGCTAAAAAGTTAAACCAAACCAGACACCACTCATTTGACTATTCTAGACCATTCCAGCCTATTTCTCTTTTTGGTTCAGCATGGGATAATCTGATTAGCAGTAGTGTTCCATTCAGGTGCAGGATGTTGGACTAACTCCCAGCAGAGTCCAGAGAGTTTGGATTTCCAGGAATCCAGCCTGCAGTTTCTGTAGCAAACTGACTTTTTACAAGTTGCATGAACTCGCAGAGCTTTCCTCACTTTTGCACCATATTGGCGCAGTTTCACAGCCGTGCTAATGTGCATTTTCACAAATGGAACAAAAGTCTCAGAAATACTTCAAAAAATCCAGTGCCATCAATGAATAAACAACAGTTCAAAAGATGTCTGAGAATCCATAAACACAGAGCAGTTTTAGCGAAATTGGTAGATTCCTTAATCCATACTGAAGTTGTGTTTATCATCTGTTGACTGGCGATATGAGGGGTTGGACCCAGGACCATCTGCATGAGAACTGAGTACTCTGACAGGCTGTTCTTTCCTGCATCTTTTGAGGGAAGGGGAGGGAAGGACACCTGTTGACTTTCTGCCTGTCAAAAAATAGGGTGACAATCATACCTTGGCAAAATGGGGTGACCATCCTATTTAGTGAAGACAGTGTTAAAGAGCACTATATATGTATCTAATGGTCGCAACAGTAATATTGACATTGCAATGCTTGTTATGTATAATATTGGGTTGGGAGATGTGAGACCTTTCAAGAACGTGTGGAAGTGAAGCACAGAGAAACTAAAAGCCCTAAGAGCAATCTGAAAAGCTCTGAAGCGAAATGTGCCTCTCCCTCTCCCTGTGTCTGTGTCTGGCGGGGGGCATATGTATCAGCATCACCACCATTAAAGACAGTATAGGAAAGTCATCTTTCCCTGGATTTGTCGCAGAGCCAGGAAATTCCTGTTCCACTGCCAACATCAAAGATAGGAGGGGTATCCGATCTTGTCCTGAAGTACTATCAGAATTACTGAGCAGAAGCAGAAGAAATACACAGGCAACTAAACAAAGAAACACTCCTTTTTATTAGTGTTTGGCTGTGCAAACACGTGTGGTGCTGAGTGTGTGGTTGAATTAGCACTTAAAATGAAGAAGGTGATTTGGCTTACCCAAAAAAGCTTGATGAGTTATATAAAGACTGAAAGTCAGCAGCAGACAGCGAGTCTCCAAGCCCTTCCTCTGTGGAAATGCTGAGTATTTTGATGAACCACTGAGCAATTACTTTCTTCCTCTTTTAATAAAAAATACCAAGCAGAAAGAACTAATTAGAGCATGATTGTGATGACACTTTCAGAAGTAAAAAACAAAAACCCCGAATAACCCTTAGCCCTAATAAAGTTGCAGGGCAGTCCTAAAGCCAAAGGGCAGGCTGATGGATCGAGGGCAAATGCTGATACGCAGGCAAGCAGGAGCTCCAGAACCTCTGTCCCAGACGGCTCACCATTCAGGTTCCTGGGTGGAAAGCTCCATGGGCAGAGATGCTCCCACTGCGGGTGGGGGGGGGGTTGTGGAATTATGCCACTCTGTTCAGCAGAAGCCCCATTGTTTTCTAGACCTAATTCAAGGAGCTGCTTTTACCTTCTGACCCTAACTTGGCCTTCACCAACCTGGTGTGCTCTCCAGATGTGTTAGACTTGAACTCATTGTCCTAAATGGTTTGGACTCGGCATATCTTAGGTTATAGGCCATCTTCCTTGAAGCATGCCTTCTCCAGCCTTGTGCCTTCTAGACACCTTTGGACTGCAACACCCAGAATTCCCAGTCAATGGCCCTGCTGGGTGGGGATTCTGGGAGTTGCAGCCCAAATGCCTCTGAAGGCAACCAGGTTGGGGAAGGGCTGCTTCCACCCATAGCTGTGGTCACTCCCAGCTACAGACAGGGTTTATTATGATCCAGCCCTCAACTAGACTGAGCCCAAGCCAAATCATGTTTTCAGTGGCAAGTCCTAGAAGATTAGAAATGAGAGTAAAGAAAGAGGGCCTCCAAGAGCATGCGAAGTGCTTTTTCAGCAAACTACAGTTTGCTCTTCTGCGTCTTGGATTAGGGTTAGCTTCCAAACGGGGAGAGTCCAAGTGCCTTTCTCTTTCTTAATTGTTAAGCAACCTGATTGAGTGACCACTTATGAATCCATCATAAAAAATAGGACAGCAAGTTGTATATACTGATTTATCTAAATAGATGCAAACTTAGAAATAATTCAAAAAGCATAGAAGGCAGTGAGCAGCTGACCGGTGTGACTTCCTGTTCAGCCTGCAGCACGCCACCTGCCATCTCATGCACCGAAGCTACCTGAGATGCTGAAATATATTTCAAAGGTTTGATGACATAGTGAAGAATAATTCTCCTTTAAAAGCTTGCGTCTAGTATACCTTTAACTCTGGAACCAAACATCTTGCTGGCAAAATGTCAGAATAGATCTGGAAGAAGCAGGTTCAGATTCCAGCAGGTGTGAAACTGAAGGATGACCCGTGGCCAGTCATCACCTCCCACCCAGAGCTCCCTCCCAGGGTGGTGGTGATGTTAAAAGAGACCGTGTGTGCTGCTGACTTGAGCTGCTGAGGGGAAAGGCAGAAAAATCAATGTAATGAATGCGATACGTGCAAATCGATGCAGCATCCGATGCAGGGAATATGGCTTTCAGAAGTAGAGCGTGATGGTGGCCGAGAGGACTTGAGGAGAGACCCTTGGTAGGACGGAGGATGCAAGTTGCAGGTGTGGCTTTTACTGTGACCTCAGCTGGTCACCGGTTTCTTATTTCAAGGACTGGTTCCTTCTCTCAGGCTGAAATGCATTTAAATAGATTTAAGGAACCGTTCTTGAAATAAGGAACAGGTGGCAAGCCTGTTCTGTCTGCACAATGTGGATGGGTATGACTGACCCTTCCAAATCTAGTCTGCCCACCAGCCGCAAGCTTCCACAGATCACAAACACGTCAATCCCTCCCCCACCCGGGGTGCAATCAAGCATCTTTAAACCGTAGCTGTAGCCAACTGAGAAGCTGCAGCTGGAGCAATGCACATGAGAACAATGTACAAGCACCTCTTTCTTTCCCCCTGCTTTGCAAGCTACCTTGAAGAGAGAGGAATTGTGTTGTCAGCTGTGGCCAGCCATTGGGGCTGATCGGAAAACCACAAGCGCCTGTGACTGATGAGGCAAAGGCGTTCTGAACAGAGAGGAAGCTCTGTCTGGGCTCCTGGTTCCCACGCTGGCGTCCTCTTTCTCAGCTGTGCTCTCACCACGTGTGGCGGAGGCCGCAGCAGGGGCCTTGCAGCACGCTTGCCGCCCCTTGTTAGCCACCGCTTCAGCTCAGCGAGCAGACCGGTTGGGGGAGGGGGCGAAAAGACACACACGACCCATTTTCATCCTTTCCAAAGGGGCGCCTTTTCCACGGAAGGGAACTTTCCAGCTCGGTGCTTGAGTGCGCAACTGGAAGCGGGGAAAAAATTCGCTTAAAAGCAGATGCACCGGGACGCAAACCCGGAACAACATGGGAGGCCCAGCCAATGGCGCAGATCCGCTGCTGCACACCCATGGCTAAGCAGTGCCCGGCATGCTTGCACTGGTTCGCCCTGGGCAAAGTGTTAAATGCAGATTTGCACTGGGTCAGTTGCATTGTGGAAGTAGCGTCCTCTCCTTGCTCCTCCCCATAACGGTCCTTTCAGCCCCTGAAAGTAGTACACAGAGCATGCTGAAGGGGGCAAGGGTGGAGCCCCCAAAATTGGAGGTATGGACCTTCTGTGAGAAGGACAACCCATTTCTGGTGCCTTTCCTCTCTTCCCCAGACCCACCAAGTCCAACAAAAGGAGGAGACTCTCCATTCAAATAATGACAAAGGTTGCTTTCTGGTCCACTGTTTTCATGGCAGTTCTGAGCTCTTTCACTCCCATACTGGTCAAATGGGTTTAATGCCTGCTTGCACTGTGATGATGGGCAGCCTTTGGTATGTTTTGTGACCGATGGATGGGAAAGCCATGACCCTCCAAATGGTGCTGGACTGTTCACTTCCATCACCCCAGCAAACATGGCCGACAGGGATGATGGCTGTTGAGAGCTTAAAGACACCTGGAGGGCCACATCTCCCCCCCCCGCCCCCCGCCCCGCTGCTAGTATAAAAGTTGCAAAGATGCTGCAGCTGTGCTTGTCTGTGGAGCATCCGGCGCCCATGTGGTGAGCTGTCGCAGGGCTGAGGGCAGGGGGCCTCTCCCTGCCGTGAGAAGCAGCTCTGGATCCGGGAGCCCTGAATCTAGTGCTCGCTTTTGGCCCAGGGTAGAGGTTTGTTGGGTGCATGTGAGAAAAAGACGTGGTGGTATTGGAGGAGGTGTGCACTTACCTATCAGCAAGAAACACAATATTGTTTGCACATTTTGAAAGAACTCAGCTTTAAATGGAAATGCAAGGCATTGCCCCATCATGGGGAACACCGTGACTGGGCGTCTGTTCAGTCTGCGGTGTAGCTATGGAGGAGCTAAGGCAAGGGACTGCCTCTGTCTTAGGGCTCCTTGACTTTTAACCAGGCTTGGCTGGAGAGCCTGTAAATTGGGGGCACCTTGAAATACCCTCCTGTGCCCCCTGGCCAAAACACAGGCCCGTCCTCTGCAAAGTAGGCCACCTTCTCTTCAAACCACCTGTGCTTGTCTGGGGATTAAAATAATCAGTTGGATTAAGCTGCAGTTTTCAAATTGTGTTCTGGGAGATTCTGGGGTTCTGCAGGAACTTATTGAAGGTTCTTCACTACCAAGAGTTTCAAAGGCAGATAGAGCTCCTTGAAGCACAGGCTGGCTACTGCTACCATCACCCATCTTATTTATTTATTTATTTTGATTTATATCCTGCCTTTTTCCTACAAAGGGCTCAAGGCAGCTTACATCATTCTCCTCCTCCATCTTATCCCCACAACAATCCTGTGAGGTAGGTTGGGCTGAGAGTCTGTGACTGGCCCAAAGTCACCCAGTTGGCTCCATGGCTGAGCGGGGACTCGAACCCGGATTGTCTGAGTCCCAGTCCCATGCTCTCAACCACTACACCACACTGGCTCTCACTGGCAGCAGGAGCCGTGAAGGTGTCTTAGGGGCATTTGAAGTTTCTGCAGGGAGAGGGGACTATTGCTTTCACTGGAGAAGCCAAGAGAGGGAGGGAGGGAGGGAGGGTGGGAGGATAGGAGGAGGAGGAGATGATGATGAGGAGAATTTAAGCTGCCTTGGATTTCTTGTAGGTAAAAGCATATACATGAAGTAAAATAAAATTGTCTGTTCAAGCTCTGACAAAATGAGATCTTTGGAAGAACAAAATATTGAGCAGCAGGGGAAGATTCCTTTAAAAAATGCCAGTCTGGCTTTTCTGTGTGTCTCACATACGCCTCTCATCCTTCCCTCTTAGGATCAAAGCACACAGCTGGCTAAAACAGGGACTCTCTCCCGGCGAGGAACCAAGACACCAGCCACACAATCATCTGGGAGTCCCGGGTGCGTTGCATTGATGAGTAGCAACAGAAAAGCGTGTGGTTTTGGCCTGTGGCCACATGCCCTCTTTTGCAGGAAGGAATACTTCATTTGAAGGACTGACAAAGGGCCACCCTCTCTTTGAAGGCATCTTTTATCCTGGATGG